TGGCTTTTTTCTTGTTCAGTGCATCAACGCCAGATTGCACTTGTTCTATTCGGTAGATTGCACCTGTTTTGTTTGTGGTGAGGCTTACGCCTCAAAACGTTTTGAGGCTTACGACTCGCCTCATAACAAAAAAAGGCCTCAGTACCCATTTATGTTTTTTCAAACTATGTCCCTAAAGAGTAAAATGGGTACAAACTCTCCCAAAACGGATAATATGTATGAGTTAAGATATTGTCATTACAAAAAGAAAACAATGTGTTTAATAGAACTTATTGAAAAGAAATGGATATAAATGGTTTTATGTGGCATATCATAACCTATGAGCATTAGCTTAATACACTGAAATACCTCAAGATCCGAGTACAAACAGCCCTTTCGACATGAGAGGCTCAAGAAAGAATCTCTTTGGGCTTTGGTTAATTTGGTCCAGCTAGCCTAAGTTGTCTATTCAACACAATGCTGATCTGTGGTTTCTAATGAAAGTTGATTAATGTGGGGGTGGTGACACTACTAGCAAACACTGTCAACAGAAAACAGTAGGGATTATTTTTAATAATGTAAACATACAGGCAAAGGTATCAATCACTCCAAAGGCTGTAATTATCCTGAACAAAGCAGTTGATCAGCATTGATAATGGTTGACAGGTTTGAAACCAAATGCCTTCAGCTTGCTTATGGTATTGGGAAAACCTAATATTTTGTCATATCTCCTTATCTCAATAAAATAAAACATAGTCGATTCTTATCCATCAATGAGATTTAGATTGTATACTAGGAGATGCCTGTGATAAAGATTTAATGAAAATGTCAGTTGTCGCAAAGGTCATGCAACTACAACTATTGTAACTTGTAAGTTATATTACTGCTTGCATTTCTCAACATTTTTAATTAGTGTATCACAAACAAACTGATAAAGTCATTGATGGGCCTGTTGCCATTTAATTAATTGTTCTTCACTTGTGTTACATACACAGGTGACTTTTCATGTACTTTAGATGTACAACGTGCTATTCCAATTTTAAGAAAAGCATATGGCGACAGCATGCATAAGGTGTTGCATGTTGGTCCAGACACTTGTTCTGTGGTTTCCCAGCTGTCAAAAGAGGAGGACACTGAAGCTTGGGGAGTGGAACCATATGATATAGAGGATGCTGATGGTACATGCAAGAGTTTGGTGCACAAAGGCATTGTTCGTGTGGTTGATATCAAGTTTCCTCTTCCCTACAGGCCGAAATCATTTTCTCTAGTTATCGCCTCAGATGCATTGGATTACTTGTCTCCGAAATATCTCAACAAGACCCTTCCTGAGTTGGCAAGGGTATCGGCTGATGGACTAGTCATTTTCACAGGTAAGAAAAGTTATCAACATTTGATGTTACTTGTTCGTGAATTCCCTTGTATGTTTATAAAATTTATTTTCTATGATATTCTTCTCGCATGTCAATTATCATGTACTTATTTTGTTCCTTAATTATTTTTTGCTTCATATGTTCTAGACCTGCAAAACCTAGTTACCTCTAATTTTTCTCCAAAGGAAGTCCACCTCTGACTTAATTTCTGATTTATATATGGTACTCATGCTATCATATTTTTTCGAGTTATTTGATCCTCTCCTTTCAAGAAGATAATAAATAATTTTGAGGTGGAAAATGATTTTAGAATTTGTGAAGTTTGTCAAATCTTGAGAATTCTTGTGTATGTAAAAAAGAACAAGCATCTGAAGAACTGTTGTTAAAGATTGAAAAGGACCACATCAAGAATATTATCAATTCAAAATGCATCCCTTTTTTGTGCAAACTAATCATA